AGGAATTTAAGTTTCAAATAGGGAATCTGGATAAATTTCTGAATCTCTACTGAGGTCTCTATTTCCATATGGCAAAAAAAGTTTGCCTCCTAGCTTATGTCATCAGCTTCTATTACAGTCCTGACAGATTATTGATGAGAAAGCTTGGAAGGGAGTTACAGAATCAAAATGCAGAATCAGAATGCAGTCACTGGAAAAGCCCTCTTTGGCTAATATAATTTTCATTCTGCATTTGTGGTGCAGTGAAGTCAACTCTTTCCACTCTATGGTCTTAAACTTATCATAAGCACAGCCAACAATTCATAGGTTTCATCTTGACAAGCAGCCTGCCTATTTCTGTTCTCTGTTTATTCACTTTAGCTTGACAATATGGAGCTGAAGGCAAATATATGGATATTGCTCCTGCTTCAACTTCCAACTATGTTGGAAATTGGAATTGGAGAATTTATTAATAAAGTTGTAGACTGATCATAGTAACCTATTAAGAAATCCAGAGCCATCCATAGCAAACTGCAATGCCACCAAAATAACATGTGTACAGTGACATCATTGCACATATCCTGAAATTATGAATTTGTGTCCCCATGTATTTAAACTATTGCATTTGTATGATGTCATCATGCACGTGTCATCATCTATAACCACTTGTTTCCCTGTAGCCATCTATGAGATCATCCCCTATCTATTCTGTGAATTACCTAGCTCTGAGTTAAGGAAATAAATCCTTCATCATTTCTTTCCTATTTGTCACAAGTCTTCTGTTATTCTGACTTCCTGATACTTCAGTGCCTATCAGATTTTCAGCACATATAGAGCTAATTTACCTGCTTACAGAGAAGATGTCTGGTGGTAATGGCATCCACTACCTAGGCCATGAGCCAATGCCACCCATTGATATAGTTACATTGAAATTAGGGAGATACCTATCCAGTGAGTGAGATTTCCAAGAACCTTTAGAAAATCATTTGGGTCAAACAGTCTTCAAGTTGAACCCTTATAATAGGTTTACTACTATTCCTGCATAGGTGATGGATGCTATTAAAAGTACATTCTATCAATTCAATTGAATCAGAATAGAAATGGAAGGGAACTTGGTGGTCTTCTAGTCCAACCCTCTGCTCACACAGGAGACCATTTCAGACGTATGGCTTTCCAGTCTCTTCTTAAAAACTTCCAGTGACCCACAACTACTGAAGGCAAGTTGTTCCACTGGTTAATTGTCCTCACTACTAGAAAGTTTCTTCTTAATTCCAGGTTGCTTCTCTCCTTGATTAGTTTCCATCCATTGTTTCTTTCCTGTCCTCTGGTAGTTTGAAAAATAAGTTGATTGATTCCTTCTTCTTTGTGGCAGCCTCTCAAATATAGAAATACTGCCCCGAGTCCTTCTTTTCTCTAGACTAGCCATACCCAATTTCTGCAACTGTTCTTCATATGTTTTGGTCTCCAGGCTTTTATTCTCCCATTGTATTAATCTGGAGGAAGGACATCATTTGAAGTTCATTAAAAATCACAAGAATGCAAATCAACTCTTAATGGAAGACTACATAAAACTTTTTTATATAAGTTGTCTGCTTTGTGGTGCAGACCACTGATAGCCAGCTTGTCTGAATGAAGCTGTCCTTAGGTGTGGGTAGTAAGCATGTTCTTTATCTTTGAGCTTTGATTCTTCGAGCCCTCCAAGCCATTCTATGTTATCAATAAAACATCTTGTTTTCTTTGACTGGCAGGAGGTCTTTAATAGCTTAAGGAAATTGTGTCTGATGCTCTTAACTGGAGATGCCAGGGACTGAATTAAGAATATTACAAATGCAATACAAGTGCTGTCACATTGAATTTCAGCATTCTCTATATGTCTTTATTATAGTCAACTAACAAAAAGGCAACAAAAATAGAAAAACAATAGAAAGAATTTCAAGTACATCGTTCATAGGACATATTAAGATAACTTTGGAGCTTACTTTAGACATTCAAACCAATAATTCTCTATTCTAAACTACTGTTATAGAATATAAAGACAACACGATGTTAGTTTTTCATTAAAGGTGTTTTTAAAAATTATGAAAAAAGATTACTGGTTTATTCTTAATATTTTAGTTTGAAATATTGAAACTCTGAAGAGGGACTTATATTAAAAATATGGTCTAACACAGTGGTCACCAACCAGTGGGCTGGGGACCACTGGTGGTCCATGAGAAAATTTTGGTGGTCCGCAGAGAAATGTCAGCCCCAAAGCAATTAATCCAGGCTGTGTGGGAACACAAGGCTATGCCGCCCACATGGCCCACGGGAACACAAGGCTTGCATCACTTGCATTGCGAACAACATGAGGTAGCGAGGGGAGGGGGGAAAGGGCTGGGGGGGACTTGACCTACTCGCCCCATGTGCCTCGCCTGGCCACTGGGCTGCTTCTTTCTGCTTCTTTCTTCGTCTGCTTTTGGCTGCACGCAAGGAAATCAGAAAAAGTCTTTCTTTCTCTTCCCCAAACTCCACTAGAAATGAGTCTTTGGGGCAAGGCATCCTGCTCCAAGAGGCTGCACTGGCAAAGATTCATTTCTGGTGGAGTTTGGGGGAGACAAAGAGACTTCTGCTGCTTTCCTTGCATGAAGCCAAAAGTCTCTCTCCCCCCTCAAGAACAGAGCTGGAGACGGTATCTTGTGATCTCAAATAAAGAATGGTTGATTGGTAGAAAAACAGGGTGGGGAATTATCCTGCAGACTTTTTTGGAGATTTTCCCAGGATCTCTGGTCCGCGGGATTTAAAATTATGAGTTTGGTGGTCCCCGAGGTCCAAAAGGTTGGTGATCCCTGATCTAACATTTCTGGACAGTTTTTTTTTACCGCATTCAAGCAGTTCCCCTTTCCTGAATTTTTCTTTCTATGCAGATTGCTCACCTACAGAAGAAAGTATGATGGAATTGAACTCATCCCCCCAAAATTAAAGCATTAGTTAGCCTTCTGTACACCCATATATTTGAACAGAAACATCTTTACTCAACATCAGTATAGAAGAACTTCAACTCCAACAATTCCCCAGGCAGCATACTGATGAATATGGCAATTGAAGTCCACACATCTTGTAGTTACCAAGTTTGAAAAATACATGACTAGATCTTCTTTATGAGGTTAGTGCAGCCATTTTCTTTCTTTGCTTGAATTCAAATAAACTAATATAAGGCTAGTTGTTGTTTTGAGGGGGAAAATCATATACTGCGTAGCTCTCCCCTTCCTGCCTAACTTTTCCTATGACTCCACTACAAATTACAAGTACAACTAGGAGAGGGGGTAGAATGGGAGGGAGAGGGAGAGAGAGACAGAGACCTGATGTAAAAAGACAGTGAAATATGTAGAATAACACATAAGCATCATATTAAGTCTTATTAGTAAAGGTGTCCTGGGAGCAGGACTAAGCAACTGAAATGAAATGAAGACTAACAAGCCTGTGAATTTGTTTATTTATTTTTGCAAATTAGACAATACATATCCTATTGTGTTGCCATACTGCAGTAGGTTTGCAGAATATTTGCGGCATAAAAATCATATCTGTTTAAACCCATGTGCAAGTTTTCTAGCTATGAAGAACGAAGGGCACATATTCTTTTATTTTAACAAATGTCAGTGATCCTTTTGAAACACTGCCTCTAAGGATTTATTGATGGGAGAAGCCTCTGGGTTTTTTGTTTTTTTTCAGGTAATTACGTTTACATCATATATATAGCAGATACAAAGAAGCATGTTCCGTGCCAGAAGCCATACCTCTATTGAAATTGTATAAAATGGGAAGTGATATAAGGAAAGCCTGCTGTATTTTCGCAGCGTTTGCTTCATAAGTCAGCTATAAATGTCAACTCTCCTAAGATCTTTCCAGGTGATACCAAATGCATCATTTTCTTTTAGCCCTAAATACACATCACCGCAAATCAGCACCCACAATTCCAGCTTGCAAACCATACTTTACCAGCCATGTAGATTGGTTTATTGTAGCCTATAAATGCCACCTATTTCATATCACCTGCCAGATGTTAAAGATGGCTTGCACTGTGTTGCCAACTATGCTGCTTTGTTTCTCATTTTCTCATCAATTTTGGTTTGGCTTGTTTTTGCTGAGTATAGAAATTCACCAAACATAAGTTGTTTCTTCTTCTTTTCTTTACATCTTTCCTAAATCTATTCTTAAGCAGTAGTTTTGTATATAAGTAGTCCTCATTTAGTAACCACAATTGGGACAAACAGCTCAGTTGTTAAGTGAAATAGTCACTAAGTGAAATCACAACTGTGACTATGATCTTACTTCAGGTTTTCTTTACTTTACATACTTGTGAAGATCCTAAATGCAAGCATTGGTGGCAAAGTTGTTTTTTCATCACTGTTGTAACTTGCTAAAGTGGCAATCACTAAACAAGGACTACTAGGAGTTTTAAACAGTGACTTTAAAAAGAAGCACACGGGAATTTATAAAGCCTTGTAAGAATTAAGACTGCTGCATTTGTTCAGTGACATTACTGATTACTAGAAAGAGACTATACACCGTAGAACAATTTAGAGAAAATTATTTTGAATATCCATAGTTTCATCCTTATTGTCTCCTGATGAAGCTATACACGTCTGAAATCTTATACTGCCACGATTCCAGCTTAGATATTATGACAGTTAATATAATTAATATATACCTTTTGTGTGCTTCTTTTAATGCATACATATTTTTTCTGTACATCAACTTTTCCTAATATAATTCATTTTTAATCTTTGTCACTGTCTGTCTGTTTTGTGTGCATATGTCACCACATATAATTTCAGCTTCTCCCTGACCTACCAGATGTGTGAAATTGTTGTTGCTGTTACTGTTTTCATACGTTAAAGAAATATGCAGAATCATTCTAGTTAGCAAAATGTTAGCAAATTATCCACCATATTGAAAGTTCTGACCTGCTGGAAATTATCCATGAGGGCATTTGTTATTTTCCTCTTAATTTGTTCTAATATGCACCATTTCCCACCTCTCACCGTGTTAAACCGCTTCCTCACGTCCTTTTCAGCACTGGGAATACTTCCCTCATGAGTGTCAGAATCTCTCCGAGAGGTCAGAGGTTGCCCTGTGAAGGAAATGACAACCTGTGAAATGTGAAAGAACAATTCCTTCCACATGTTTCTATGCTCCGGGAACAGCAAAGTACTGTCAGCCGGCATCACTTTGGGATGGGCCAGGTCGCTGCAAAACGGTTCTGTCGAAATACGTTTCCCATTAACAACTTGCAGAGTTGTTTAAAGCCTCTTTTTTTAACCTTTTGTCCAGCAGATCTGAACGTTGCTTACTGAAGCCAAATGGGAAGCAATTCTGCAACTGGATGTCTTCCAGAGACCTTTGACATCAGGAGACCAACAGATCGGAGAATGGGAATGTCCACCTGAATTGAGGCTGATATTTATCTTCTACATATCCAATGAAAGTTCATTAAATACTCTTTTTCTGTCGCAATGGGACTAGAATTGCATTAGGCATTTACAAAGCATGATCTTGGGTTTGAGTTGCATGGGAGAACAACAAATAAACCAGGATCACACGGCATGTTTATTATTTTTGTTTGATGTCTTTCTGTTTAATGTTAACACGTCCTCTCTTGTTATTTAGGATCCACTATGTGATAAATTAAACAATGAAACATATTTAGATATTCAGTAAAATGCATGGAAGAGGCATATGGATATACAGAGAAACATATTCATTATAAAATAGAGATTCTAGTAATGATTATAGAATCATTATTATAGAAGATTTCTCTGCCCTTCCCAATCCCAAATAGCAGACATACTGATGTCCAAATTGCTCATGAGATTCCAGGCATAGAAAGCATCCCAAGTCAACTGCTTTACATTGAGTAAACTGTAGGTCTTGAGACAAAGGTGGAGTAGTAAAGGTAATAGGTTAGTAATATTGCCATTCTTTCTACCACAGGCCTGGGAAGTCTAAAGACTTCAATCAGATTCTAGACAGCCATATTGTATGACAGTGGTGAAAGGACTTCAGTAGGCAGTAGGCTGGCCCAGAATCAAAATTTGCTTAGGTCACCTATGCCCTTTCTTTTAACACTCTTTTTAATTGTTCTTATTTGTATTCTTCCCCCAACCCTATCTTTCCCTTCTCTTTTTCCCTATGATACCTTAGTTTTTCCTGAGGAATTTGGATAGAAAGGGATCCATCACTCCTATTTGGAAACTGGATTGTTTTCAAAACTCTACATTACATGATGGTTACAGTGTTTTTAGGGCTACAAATTGCTTACTGCATTCTAGAAGGATCCATATCTGAGTGCAGTTCAAAAGAACAATGCCCAGAACCAAAGTATTAGCCCATAAAGCACATAAATGAAGGTCTTGATTTGCCTCAAAGGTGCCCTCCTGAAGTAATTCTGGCACCATACCATGGAAACCATCCCCATATCTCTAACACAGTGACCCTGCCTCTACTCCTATGTGCACAATGTATCAAAAGATGTCCTATTTTCTTCATTTACCTCCCTCTGAAAAGTTCTTACAGCAGAGAAGTTGTCTATATAAACATGTCACATCCACCATAATGAGGTACATTTCATTAATGTTGTATTGACCTGTTCATGTCTCTGCTAATTTATTAAACAAAATGAGTTTGTGGATTGCTACAGTCTGACAAATGACATTAAACTAGCCTGTTGACTTTCTTCTGATTCTCTTTAAAAAAAAAACTGTTAGTGCCTACTTAATTGCATAAAATAGTTTTAGATTTCAACAGGAAGGAACCAGGTAGTGATGCATCTGACAGTTATGTGATTTATGTCCCAATAAATAGATCATACTACCAAATGGAACCTAAATTTGAGCTCAAAAGGTGCCAGGACTTCAAAGCACGTGTCAAATGGATTGTTCAAATGTCACTCCTCCCCACCTCCCACTGAAACATATGACATTACTTTTCTGAAGTAAATTCCCCCAGTCAGAGCTCATGGGAACCCATGGGAGCATGGGTGAGCTGCTGATGTCTTTCACAACAAAACATCTGCTACTAGGACCAGGTTTGAAGGCTTTGATGCCTCTAAGCAGAAAGATTTCCTTCAGAATTCATAGCATCTTGATAAGAGCTATGCTTCATAAGAACTGCTACCTTAATAGGACTGTTGTTTTTACATGGATAATAGATTGTATTTGTCTTTAAACAGGATAACTGGTACTAAACAGAAAACAAGCTGGTTTTAGGAGATCATGTGCATTCAGTGTTATGAAAGAGACCTTGCTTTAGGATTTTATTTCAAAGGATTAAAAAATGAAATATGGGTAAAGTTCTTATTATTTAGTTACTAGCTGGCCAATGAGCAGATAAAACGCCTTGTTTTTCATCACACAATCATCAGCAGTGCCCGTGATATTCCATGCTTTATAGCATTAGTGTAGTGTAATCTAGTGTAGACAATGTAGATCAGTAGAGCATACATGTTTCTTCATATAGAAATTTAAACCAAGTTCAAGCAGCAATTCATAGCAGGCAATTCAGACTACCTTTTCCCATCATACTGAAAAACAGCATCAAAAGTGAACACTTGGAAAACTCTGAATTGGTATAATAGCTGATCTGGCTGTTAAAAGGGCCATCAAATGGGGGTTGAACTCTTATTAGCTATATGAATATAAATCTGCAATTTAAAGTTGTCCTCAATAGACATTTCAGTGATCTTTTTCCTCCTGTCCATCTACCTCTTTCCTCCAGTTTTCTTTTCCCCATTTTTGCCAAGCACAGTCATTTTTTTTCTAGCCCCACATCATCTAGTAGAACCTTATGCCTAATATGTGAGTCTCTGCTTGATTACTCTGCTTGAGTGTTGCTTACTATTGGAATTAGTTCTTATCAGAAGTCAGTACAGCAGGACTTCTTCCAGTAGATGGTACCCATAGTACCTTGTACTCTGTAAATTATCTTTGTTCTGTTGTTCTTTCTCAAAATCTAGGTTTCAGAGTCATACTTGACCAATAGAAAAAACTATTGCCTTAACTATTCTGAACTTTGGAGTACTGTTTTTTGAACAATCAATCTTCCCTTTATTTTTCTGTCCATTTGAATCTTCAACCCAAGAAAACAAAGCTATCTACCACTTTTGCTGTCAGGTGTAAGTTCATTAGGGATGGTGGTGGATATTAGCTTGCCTTTATAATAACTGACATTTTTTCCACTTTCCTTTTATAGATTTTTAATAACCTCTTCTACATCTTCTTTCATTTCAGCTCCCACAGTAGTATTATTTGCACATTTCTCTTTTAGTGTTTCAACCTTCCATTACCATCTCTTGCAGTCATGCCATTCTTCAAATATTTTCAATATTGGACAATATTAATCAAATGATGGACAATATACAACTAGACTGACACTATGGGTGATGTCATTCAGCATTATCTGGGGTTCACAGATTCCATACCCTGGAATTAATGACTGAATATTAATGACCTTGGGAAATGGGAGATTTGTCTTCCAATCAGAAACCCTAGATCGTCACTCATTCTGGCTGGAGAATTCTGGCCTTGACGTCCACACATCTTAAAAGTTGCCAAGGTTGAATGTAACTTAGAATTAAAACTGTGCTTTCAAGACAAGCTACAGTTTGTAAAATCTCATATACTGATTAGTCTCTCATTATTAGAGTGTTTCAATGAGTCTTCTTAAGGCACAGACTTCATTGTCATTTAGGTTTGTCTATTTTCTAGCTTGCATTTCAACATTAGCGTCACTTTAGCACAATTTTATGTTGTGTCCCAACCAAATAAATAGAGTATTTATGCAACCTATCAGTTTGCTGCAGATCATAAATGTATTTGTTCTGTTGGAAAGAAAAAGCTGTAAGGTTTACCACGTGTTTTCTAGTTCCCTAAGGTTTGCTCCTTTAATTGTAAATAGCCAGAAAGTCATCAAGCTAACGTTTAATAAACTTTTAATTTGAAATGGATTGCCACATGTTGTGTTTGTTTGCCCATTATTAAATCTCTTAGCAACATATCACTAGCAGAAACAGCATACTGTAGCATTGAACTGATATATATTAGAAAACAAACCCACAGGGGATATTAACAGCTAATAATATCTTTTTAAAAAGCTCCAAGTAAATAAATAAATACAAATGACACAGAGAATTATTCTTAGAGATATTGGGGAAGATTGGGGGAAGTAGAGTTTCAATTATTCAACTGTATATCCAGTAGGTTTATTTTTTTTAAAAAAAGTGGGAAATGAGCATATTCATTTAACAGTGCATAACTCACTTATGATTCTTTGCATCTACCCCTATCTATTAATATGGCACACACACACACACACACACACACACACACACACACACAAATATGGTATTCAGTTTTGTTCGGGTATTTTCCCACATCATTATAGTTGTGCTTTTAAAGTTGTAGCGACGTTTCGGCAGAATCTCATCTGCTATCATCAGGCTTGTGTATTGCGTTCGTCTTGGATACACAAGCCTGATGATGGCAGATGAGATTCTGCCGAAACATCTCTACAACTTTAAAAGCACAACTATAATGATGTGGGAAAATACCCGAACAAAGCTGAATACATACATATAAATACCTGTGAAAACTTAAGAAAACGTATGTATGTATGTATGTATGTATGTATGTATGTATGCATGTATGTATATATGTATCTATATCTATATCTATCTATCTGTCTGTCTGTCTGTCTGTCTATCTATCTATCTATCTATCTATCTATCTATCTATCTATCTATCT